TGTTTTTTAAAGATTTGTAATTCTAAACTTGTCCTCGCAAATGGATCTGTCAAGATGATTTGTGATGTTTGTGGCTATGCATCACAGTCCCATTTATTTTCCTAAATAAATAACAGATTTAATGGTCTCTTTTTTTTTTCCTCAGGGCAAAACTCGGCATGCCGCAGTTCCTCAGCCCAGAAGTCCAGAGTTTACTGCGGGCTCTTTTCAAAAGAAACCCTTCCAATAGATTAGGTACCATACATGAACCAAACACTGCCATAAACCAACAAATATTCTATTCACCTGCCTTCCATCTTTTTTTTTGGTTCATCTGTAAATGTAATTTGGGTTGTCACAATACTGATGCATATAAGACACCACATATATGACAGTAAACCACATCAATCAACTAGTTGGTTGTTGGAAATCAAGTCAATTATCAGGTTTCATCTGTGTGTTTTTTCTTTTGTTTTACCTTGGTTTGCGCATACTCCTGTTGTTTGCTTTCCACCTGTGTCTGATTAATGATCTTGTTCAGCTTGTGTGTGTATATATAGCCTCTGTTAGGTTCAGTCAAGTGTTTTTTTTGTAGAATGTTTTTCTGCGGTTTTCCTAGTAGTCTCTGTTTATCCGGTTTAATGAAGGAACTGCTGTTCACTAGGATCCTCTTCATCAGTGCTCTTTTATCATTTGCATTACCTAGCGTAACATCACTTTAATTAGTACTGATTTTTTTTTTTAGAATACCAAAGTACTGCAATTACAGTGCTACAAAACACTGTTATACTTTTTTTGTTGCCCATGGTATTGATGGTCAGTATGTGATTTAGTGTGAAAAGAAAACATTTGTACTATTCTTGCAAAGACCGAAAGACATTCCATGGAAGTCCTACTATTTGAGTTCTTCACTCACAACTATCCCCTTTCTTTTGTTCTTTTCCTTTCCCCCTACTGTTTGGAGTCATTTAGTGTTTATCTGTTATCTTGAAGCATTTTAATAAGTTCAGACTTTTAGCAGACTCACTAGGCTCTGCTTGAGTGATCTAGATTACATAGAGTATGCCTGGAAGTCTCACCTAAAGCCTTATTTTAGATTTAGTTTTGTCTGTATGTGACTGTATAAATCTATTTAGAAGAAGAAAAAGACATGTAACATAAAATACCACATGAGAAGAGCTGATTTAAATTGCCTAGGGGCCATCAAAGACCAGCAAATCACTGGTATACGCTTTTTTTTTCAGTGTAAACAATATGAAATGCTTAGCACAGTATGTATCAGATGGTCACAGTGATACCTCTTTTAGTTGAAGATAGTATAAATCAATTGTGCATTGTTTTTACGACAGCAGTAGTGGGCATGAATATCATTTTAGTCAGAGATGATTTCCTGTGTGAATGACTGCAGACAGACTTCCAGACGCTGCTACTGAATGTTTGTCAAAGCCGAGATTGAATTTAGCTTCGTGAATCATTTTATCCATAATTTATAAGGCAGAGATAAATGCCATCGAGACCTTGTGTTGACTGTGGCTTAATATTCTTCTGTCTCAGATTAGTTGTATACATCCCAGCCAGGTCCTGACTCACTCGTGTAGGACGACTAACATAGTTTGAATGGTAAAATGAAAATGGACTGGTTATTAAGCTGGAATAGTGTTGTGCGGTAGAGTGCAACAATAGGTTTACGGAAATAAAAATCCTATTCATTTTGTTCAGAGAGAAAATAATTATTAGTGATAGCATATAAACCTGAGCTACCATGAGGTTGTTAAAGTGGTAATTCACCATTTTCAGGATGGGCTTTTAATAAAACATGCAGTTTATGCTGTAGAAACGCCAAACAAATAAAAATGGTGCGACATGACTACAGAATATGGAGAAAAAGGGCTGTGGCATTCCCTTTAGCATTTCCTCTGTTGATCTAAAACATGGAAAAATAGTACATTGTTCATTTGCATTTACTACAGATAATTGTAACAATACAAAGCTAGTAGAAAATTGGTGAACGTATCCTTTAATTGATGAAGTATGCCTTCTGTAGCCTTCATTTCAGTTTCATTTTATAGTTATTGTCGATTTCCTGGTGAAAACTACATTACCCACACTCTTAAGAAAGGTTCTAAACAGTACTAGAAAAGGGTTCTTCGGCTTTTCACATCAGCAGAACCCTTTTTGGTGCTAAACAAAATGATTTTTATAAGGTTCAATAAAGAACCACGCTTTGAAAGTGCTATACAGGACCTTGATGGTGTTATAAATAACCTTTTTATTGGTAAAGCTTATTTTCATTAATATTAGTGTATATATATATATATATATATATATATATATATATTGTGTGTGTGTGTGTGTGTAAAATATTAGTATTATTATTAATACAATTTTTATATAATTTTCATTTTGTGTGAATTAGGTACTTTTTTGATATGTAAAAATGTAGCAAAGATGTCAGTGCTCTTATACAGTTATTAGCTGAACAGATTAATAAATGACAATTGACATTGAACAGGAATAAATACATAAAGAAGTAAAATACAACATAGAAACAGAAAATAGATGTGATGAAGACCAAGTTCCAGTGAAATATCTTCACAGTCCTCTATGATGCTTTTAAGTCCATCATTTTGGTGTGCAGATGATGAGGTTGTGGGATCTGACAGCATCTAAAATACATAATTGAATTTAGAGTTACAGTGTCTCTTCTATTTGTTTATGTAAAAACAATTATGATCACGAAGGCCAAAAGTAGCAACAAATGGACAGTATGTGAGCCATTCACACAGTGTTTAAAGGAAAAAGTGATATAGTCATGGGATATCTTTAATGTTTTTGTTTTTTTTGTGACTGGGTATGTTTATGCATAAACCCAAGTAATAGAAAAAAATCTAACAACATTCCTTGGTGGAGGAGAGGAAAGAAGTATCCTCAGCTTAACAGAGCTGTTCGTACTTACATGTGACCAAAAAACTAAAATGAGAAAAGAACATGTTTGTTTAGAAATCAGTTACTATTTAAAACTGAAATTTGTCTTTAAATTTAAGAATGAAATCATTTAGCCTGTTGAGAATGTGTTGACAGTCTGTGTAGTTCAGGGGTGTCCAAACTCGGTCCTCGAGGGCCGGTGTCCTGCACAGTTTAGCTCCAACTTGTCTCACACACCTGCCTGGAAGTTTCTAGTATGCATAGTAAGACCTTGATTACGGACAGTGGCCCTCTAGGAACAGGATTGGACACCCCTGTTGTAGTTAGGATCACTGAGCTCCAGTATATGTTATAACGAGCTCCAGTAATAATGAGTTACAGATTTGAACAAAAAGAACAAAATGAACCATTTCAGCATGAATGGGTTCTTCAGGATGCTAGGGTTCTATATAGAACAGTTACTACATGTAAAGAACCTTTTTATAGAGTTTAGAACCCTGAAGAGAGATCCACCAATCAGGCAAGTCACTGTTTCCATGGGAATAGAAATCATGGCCGTGACCACCATCAGTGGTGGAAGATGTCTTTTGCAGCCAGATGATACGGCACCTGCTAACAGGGGCTAACTGGGTTATGCTAACCAGACAAACCTTGACCACTTGGTTGCACACTATCGCATAGCACTTTTAGATTCCTATTTGTTGAGGCATTAAAAGCTTAGCTACAGCAAGCAGGACGGGACACAGAGCTGTAGAGGATTTCAGTAGAGTGCTTTCAACACTTGTCTGACTCACAAACAGACCAATGTTTCATGGAATCTTATCCTTTAAATTGTTTTTTTCTTTTTTTTTTTCTGTGACAGATGGGTTTTTATGAGGCATTTCATCCCATCCAGAATAAAAAAAAATATATATATGTCCATCCGGTTGTTTTGCAGGTGCAGGACCTGATGGAGTGGAAGAAATCAAGCGGCATAAATTTTTCGCAACTATAGACTGGAATGTGAGTTCCAAACTTTGTACTTAATACTATGCAATGCTATGTAATGTTAATCACTCTTGAATATGTAGCCTGGCGACTCATGAGTAGGACAAAATCGTTTACCGTTTTATTCAAAGATTCCGTTTTAATTGCTGTGTGTGATTGCATGACCAGGCTTATCTTCACGTAAGAGTTAAGAAAGGCAAAAAGTGAAGGAAGAGCTCCCAAAACATGAACAAAAAAAATGACTTAGGCCTTATTAGTAGCATACGGTTTTCTGCATATTGCATTGTAAACTGTATTTTATTAGTAAATCCTAAATTACTGAATTCTGCTGCTGATTTTTTTTTTTTAAATGAGTATAGGTATGAGTATACGGTTCCAGATTAACCGTAAAAGCCATGCAAAGTGGTCTTCACAGCGTATTTCACAGTCTTAAGTGAGATTCCAATCCGAAGAGAGCATACAGTAAATGTTCAGTTTGAAGGGAACTGTGAACAGCATAGGGAATAAGGGAACATCACTTCACAGGATGTGGAGAGGGAAATTTACCCAACAGTCATTGCCCATCACTCCAGCACTTTAAGTCTGAATAAAAGACGGTGAAGAAGAAGAGTTGAGGCTCTGCCGTTATTATTTATTTTAATTACTACCTGGTGTGATTTGTGTGCAGTTGTTTGAGACATGAGACTGTGGTCACATGACCTTATTATATTTTTAATCCGACTTCATTACATGCATGTCTTAATTCAGAAATAATCATGTCCGAACAGTTCATGTGTATTTTAAAATCACGTTTAAAATGACTTAAAATACCAGAAAGTACCAGTTAATTCAAGCACACTGTGTGATGATTGCATTGCATTGTGGGATACAGTGTTCCACAGAGTGTTTTTTTTGTACTGCTCAAAAAATACGTATTGTACCTTTAAATCTTTTTTTTAACAATCAACCATTAAAGTCATATTTAAATATTCAGACATAAAACTGTCTATGCTATGTTTATCCTATGCTATTATGCTATGTTTATTTATGTTATCCAACCCTTAGTTCACATAGCTTTTAAATGTTAATGTTTTATGAAATTACTGCTCAAAATTCACAGGAAGCTCCATTATGTTTGATCCATTTATTTCTGTAACATGTATAACCTCAAGCATTGGTGTATGTCTTAAATTATGCATTTTTGGTCAACAGAAATTGTACAGACGAGAAATCAAGCCTCCGTTCAAACCAGCAGTGGGCCGACCAGAAGACACATTCCATTTTGATCCTGAGTTTACATCCCGCACGCCGACAGGTGACACAAATTGCATTTGATTTTCAGATTACACGTAACACTCATATGCCATTTTATTTAAATTATGGATGGATGAAGTGTTTGCTTTCAAGCATCATAAGCCGGGTTTCCATACAAAGTTGTGAATTTAACTTATGCGCAAAATTGGAATATTTGCGAATGAGCACCGTTCCCATCCAACGAGTCAAAGAGAACAAAAACATCACTTCCTGATAAACTGGCACTAAATATCACAAAGAAAAGTAGGAGAAGCCACTGAATATTAGGGCTGGGTATCGAGTTCGATACTTTTTAGGCACCGACCGAAATGCCTCGATACCATCGAGTATCGAAAAACGTCTCGTCGTTCGGTACCAAATTTCGATACTTAAGGGGTTAATCTCATCAGCGTCAGTGAGCCAATAAGCCTGCAGCACTAGCTGGTGTGTTCGGCTAGAAGAGGTGCGGCGCAGATCGATCAGTGTTTGACATCCGCGAGAGCGATTCGAAAGCGCACGGAGCAGTCTGCTCTCTTTAGCTCTCGTGGTACTGTAAAACACTGATCGGTCTGCACAGTCAGTCTGCGTCAAGCCGAACACACCTACTAGTTTACACCGGTTACACTCAGAGATGTGGTGCACACGTGAGACTGTAGTGCGAATGCGTCCCAGCCCCCTTAGATGTAAGGCTACATTTACACTGGTGCGTTTATGTTTTAAAATGAAAACGATCCTCGTCATACTGGCGTTTCCACTGCGTTTCAAGCAGGCTTTCCACTATCTCCGACAAACGACAAACGACAGACTGGTCATTCAGTCATTCATTTCCAATGGAGAGTAACGTTAGCGCGGGAGCTGCGTGGAGTTCCGAGCAGATGTCGGTTTCCGTTCATACTACA